TGGCGGCAACCCCTGTAGCAACTGCTGCGGCTGCCCACACACGGCGATGGCGTTGGTCAGGTGGTCCACACCCTTCTCGTACTCACCTGGGAGATTTACACAGAATCACAGGTCATTGAAAAGCCTTGGCCTGGCTAAACATTCAACTTTTGGGCCCAGTCCCGGTGGCCCAGAAGGCAGGTGTCACTGCATGACAGTGGGGCAAACTGGGGAGCCCAGATGCAGACCCCAAGTGGACCTGAACATGGTGGGAACGCCAAAACCCTGGCTGGCTGGGGGAAAGACCATGGCCTGGTGAGCCGTGTCGAGAGCTCCCATCTCTCCTGAAAGGAAAAAGAAGCAGGGCATGTAAAGGATCCCAACTTCACCCCGTCTGCTAGTGATGCTCACCCGGCCACTGTGCAAGAACAGAACTGGCAACAAGCTAGCGTGCGGACGTACAACCGAGTCACCACGCCAGTAACGGCTACAAGCAAGTCAGTGTGTACAGACAGACCATGTCTATGATAAATGTGCACACATACACACACACACACAAGTGCACACGCACGTAAAAATGCACACACACAAGGGGAACTAAGGTGTAGAAAGGCCACGTACATCATTACCCACAGACTTGGACTTCTCTGAAAACTTACATCGGAAACTTCTAACAAAAGGACAGTGCTTCCTATTAGGAGAGGGCACTGGGGACTAAGGGAAAGGAGACCCAATTTCACTGTAAACAAACCCTGCGCATGTGAATGCTGCCAGGCAGAATTACAGGAGGAATACGTTGGTAACACTAAGAGAAGTTACACTAATGAAGTATGGGAGGAATACGTTGGTAACACTAAGAGAAGTTACACTAATGAAGTATGGGAGGAATACGTTGGTAACACTAAGAGAAGTTACACTAATGAAGTATGAGAGGAGGAAGGAGGTCGCACTGCTGTCAGCTGAGGGGGAAGGCTCAGTAGCATTTATCAGTAAATTCCCTTCCAGACACTGACAGACATTCAGGACTTTCTCTGTAACAGCCAGAAGGCACATGTACACGTGGGGAAGGGGGAAGGGGGAGGACGCTGTAATCAGGAGGGATCATGCCAGCCCTTCTCCTTCCCATCTCCCTCTGCCAGGATTTGGGGCACACACGCACATGTGCCCAGGCCAGGATTCAAACCACGCAGCTGGCCACGGGGGATCCACTCCCTTCACAACTAAGCATAGCATCAGCCCTACCGGGTTTTTTTTTGTTTGTTTGTTTTGTTTGTTTGTTTGTTTTTGAGAGATTTTCACTGTAGGGCGCGTGCGCTCGCCAGACAGACAGAGAGAGACAGAGAGACAGAAAGCGAGAAATCACGCCCCAGGGGGGATGGTCACGCTGCAATCCCTTCTCCTCCATTCTCCTCTCAGGATCTTGGGCACGCATACACATGCGCCCGGCGTGACTTTTAAGCCACCGGGTCTGGGACACGAACCGCGGTTGACTACGTGGGAATCCAGCGACATAGCCATTACGCTAACTGATGGTTCCCTACCAGGTTTTTCCAAGGACTGACTTATATGAAAAAAGACTCAGAGAGGCTGAGAAATTCCCTTGAAGTTAATGAGACCTGGGACTCTAACTCCAGGGTCCCTCTTCTCTCTGAACGTCCTCACTAGCCTGTCTCTTGCAGTCAGTGACCTATGAGGCCTACTAGGTACAGCCAAGACTGCTACAGAGACCAACGAGCGCTGGGCGCTGCGCCTCCCCCCCCCAAAATTCTGACAGGAAATGTCCCAGATCACCCCACTGCTTCATTCTTCTGGGCTGTGTGAGCTGCCACGTCCTCCTACCCCGAGCTGGAGGGCCCAGAGCTTCCACTGGCATTTGTGTATGGTTCAGGTTTCTAGACGTCCGTAGCTTTAACTGGCGTCAGAACAGGAGAGCCCATGTCGGGGCTGGGACTGTTTCACCCCTGTGCTGTCTCCGGGATGAGACAGTCAAGGTGCTAGTCGCTATCACCGGGTGTGGCAGTACCGGTGCGGATTGCCCGGGCGATCCCTTGCCCGGGCGATCCCTTTCCCGGGCACTGAGATGGTAAGCCCTAACCTGGGACCTCAGGTGACCAGGACAGGAACTGACAGCTGTTCAGTCAGTTCCTGCTTGTGGATGGATGCCAAAAAGTCTCATCTCTGCCGAGCAAACACTGCAATTGTCTTTTCAAGAGTATGTCCAAGAAACGTGGACACAACCTCTCTAACAACCTTCTTATGGTCCTGAGCTCCCTGCCTATGTGAAGGAGACGCTGCCACCCCTCTGCTGACTGACAGTGGGCTCCCAGGCGGCGCACAGCAGGGAGGGCACCTCCTATGCCCCTGACCACCCAGCACGGGAGGACCGCGCCTTCTACACGACTCAAGCCAGTACCATTTGGGAGCAAGCCCTGCCAGCACGCTGAGAGGACTCTCCCGTTCCGCTCTCGCATCCCTGAGGACACTGGCAGTGTTTCCTGGTTGGTATCCACCTCACGCTCTTCTGCACTTACATGCTAGTGCTCCTACGCACATGCCACGTGGCACCTGGCTGCCCTAACCACCATGCCACAGGCTGGCCTATTATTTCTATGTAAAAGCGCACACATGAGAAAAAGGAAGGGAGAAAGTGCAATCAAAAGTCTCATGCCATGACTCCCTCCCACCAGCCCTCCAGCTCCTCAGGCTCTTGGGCACCCAAGCGAATGTCTAGCATGTTTTCAGGTCCACCTGGGGATCCAAACCCACGGTCAGCCATGAAGCTTCAGCAAATGACAGACTCCACTCCCTGGGCTGGCCTACTCATTATTTTCCACCATTCCTATTTTATTAGTAATCTGAGTATAGAGACTGAACCAGGTGTGACTGTTGTGTAAAATTAAAAGATAATTTGAAATATGCCCAAAACTAAATTTTTCAATTAATTGTAGATCTAGGATTCGTTTAATAATTTCAATTCACAGAAGTTTTCAGGGAAAAAAAAGGAAACTTATTACCGTTGATAGAATAAATGAGGCACTATCTAATAAAAAGCCTAAAATCTGAATCAGGTACAAGGCTGGCTATGAAATGAGATGTCATAAATGCAACATGACTTTGACTAGATAAATTAACCTTTTCTCATATAAATTAGTCATCCTCTCCTGTAAATACCAGGAAAGACGTGGGGGCTGGAGGGGTCCAAGAACATATACTCCAGTCCACATTCTCTCGAGACAGTCTATGCCGCAGTACTTAGAAGCAGGAGAGACTGTATCTGTAAGAATTACGTCATCCATTGTACATCACTTGCTAAAGCGAGTAAGCAAAGAGCTCACACAGATATGCCCCGAGGCAGTAGCAAAGGGTACATCTGTCAAGGAGCAGTCTTCCATAAGGCAATCACATTAGTAGGAGCCCAAAAACTCGCCTTGAAACATTCAGAATGCCTTTTCTAAAAACAGTCAAACCACCTAAGACCCATCCCAGCCTAAGTCTGTACCAGGGTTTAGAATTCCACCCAGTTCCCCAGACTTCTGGAGGAGTCACCTTGGGCTAGCAGCTCTTCGCCAAGCTGTATCTCTTCAAGGAAGAATTTCTGAACTGCCTCAGCATCTTTAAGGTCAGGTAACTGTTGGAAAGAGAAATTTTGTCATTGATGTCAAAATTATACCAGGGCATAAATCAATAAATTAAATGAATGAATGTATTTATTTTTAGGTTTTGCCACAGGGCACATGCAATCACTGGGGTGTGTGGGGGTTGGCCACACCAAATCCCTTCTCCTCCTCCTCTTCTTGGGATCTGGGGCACAAACACACACATGCCTCGTGATTTTTCAAGCCTCTGGGCCTGGGACTCAAACTGCAGTTGGCCTTGTGGAAACCCAGTGCCTTAAACATCACGCCACCTGCTGGCTCACTATTTTCATTTTCAATGAAGTTGTAGCAAGGGAATTAAATCAGTAAGAATGACATCTCATCATGTTGAAGCAGCTGAGTGAGAACAATTTAACCTTCAGTAAAGAGGCTCATGAAACCATCACCTATTACCCCTTATCTCGTGGCCCTTGTAAGGAGGAAATACGAGGGCCCAGATAACCTGCAACAGAATGAAGCTCTTCATCCATGAGTAAACAAAATTAACTGTATTTTAAAACAGAAAACCAACGGGGGTCAGTAGGTGGCATGGCAGTTAAGGTTAGGATAGTATTCTATCCCACATGGCCTACTGTGGTTCAAGTCTCAGAGCTGGCAGCTTGAAAATCATTCTGGCTATGTGTGTGTGCCCAAGATCCCTGGAAGAGAAGGGACTGCAGCTTGGCCATCCTTCCCTAGGGAGGATTTCTCACTTTCCCTCTTACTGTCTATCTCTCTGGTAAACACACTATCAACTAGTTTCCTCAAAATGTATACAATATTCAAGATAGATTTTAAAACAGTATTTCTAGGGACCAGCAGATGGCATAATGGTTATGTCTCTGGACTCCCATATAATTGACTGCAGTCCGAGACCTGGACCCGGTGGCTTAAAACTCCTATCAGGTGTGCGCACATGCCCATCCCCCCGCCGGGCGGTGATTTCTCACTTTCTGTCTCTGTCTCCCTGTTGAGTGTAGAGCAAAAATCTATCTCTCTAAAAAAAAAAAAAAAAAAAGAAGAATTTTTTTTAGATATAAA